TTATGTGATTTGAAATTTAGACAATTTTTAGTAAATTAAAGATGTTGTGGCTACTCTTTAATTAATCTAAAACTGTTATCACTTGGCAAAAGGGGAATTTAAAGGCTAACAAACGAATTAAACCAACACATGATAGACAATTATTAGGTATACTCCCATGAAAGTTGGTCGAGACGAAGCTCGGTTAAATACCACTCCTTAGACAGAGTAGCATCGCAAGGGGACTAGTAGCAACAAGGCTTTTAAGCCAGGGCCATAGAACTAGTATTCCTCCCCAAGAAACTTCCCTAAGTCATGTGTTTTCATATTTGAAGCAAAATCGTTTGGGAGATCTATAAGATTGTAGATTCACTATGGATAAGGCTTTAAATCGATAAACTAAATTAACGGACTAAACGTGCTTAAATTCAGGCACCACTGCAATTAATTTTATGCATAAAGTTCAACTTAATAAGAACTAAATCCATTCCCAAACTATGCTTTCTAAAGGCATAATAAATCGCATAATCTAAAAATAAAATATTATGCTTAGAACAGATATGCATAAAATTAAATAATAAACTCATATGTTCCAAATAAATTGCATAACTGAAAATAATTTTAATATGAGCAATAACCTCAAGTATACAATTAATATTCAAAACTAGTATGACTTCTAACCAAAAGAAATCCAAAATTTGAATAATGATGTAATAAATATATATACTTTGAAAGGTTAAAATATACGCCCACGTGAAAATGTTTTAATTGCATAAAATCAAATTTGTGAGAAACAGGCTGAATTAACAAATATCAAGCCATAGTATATGTTTTATTCGTAAATAAAAAATCTCACAAATCCTAGTTGCATATTAAACTTAATATTATGCACTTAATGTGATTAAAAACATAAAACAATCTAAAGAGTATGAAAAACACCAAATGTGCAATTATTCATACTTAACAAAATGTGGGCAATAACCTCTAAAATCATAATTCAAATACTAAATAAATTATGAAATAGGTGTACAATAATGACAATAGTCATTTGCAAAAAATGTTTTTCCAAAATTCTGAAATCACTCTCCAAGACTTAATTAATAGTATCATTAATGACATAAAATTGTAAATAATCCAAAAAGCAATAAATAGCCATAATAATATTATTATGTTAATTTGGAGGCTAAATATGGAAAAATGATAGTTAAAACATGTTAAACTTTAAAACATTTTCGGATATAACTTTAAAATTTAATAAAACTTATGTCCGAAAATAAATGCCACATAAATCTATTTGGAAACAATTCATGACTTAATACCATAAAATTAATGTTATCATTAATTAAAATATTAATAGTAATAAGGAGCATTATAATCACCATTAATATTTCAATAATGACAAACATGGTAATACATATTTTAATGTTTCCATATTTTTAAAGATAAAATGTGACTATTTCAAAAATAGTTAACAGGTATAACAGTAGTTACCAATAATAATAAACTGTAAACTATAATTAATGATTTACGTACCTTAATGATGCGAACTACATCAATCGATAGCACTAACATCGATAGCAAAGAAAGCCTCCAAATCTCTCATCTTCGCGGAGAGTGTAGTTGACTCGTCGATGCTAGTAATCTCAATGAATCGCCCAATGGTATGTAACAATTCATTGGTAACACTTAATTACCATTATTAATAATAATGGAAAAATGAAGTGACATGGGTAATCTTACCAATGTACCAAATATAGTAAATTACCATGAATGAATAATTATTATGAAAGGTAATAAATGAGATTAGCCCCTCAACTTAATAACAGTGATTAATAATGCAAATTAATTACAATAAATGCAAAACTGTAATTGAGGGATGCCAAATACTAATCTCAATTTACCACATAATAATTAACCATGAGTCATAAGAAGACTAAAATTAAGGTATTACCAGATTACCAATGTAAATGCAATATATCAACAGTGTACATTGCTTGCCATAAAAAATAAAAAAAAATTAAAAAAAAACTTAATATTAATGTTAAGGCCCTGAAAACTATTAATAGATTAAAAACATAATCAACTTATCAACTTAAATAATAGTTATAATTCTTAATGGCAAAAAAATAATAATTATAATTCTTAATGGCTTCAAATGGTAACTATAATCCTTAAACACTTAACGACTCAAAATCAGGCAAAGATAATAATTATAGCACCAAATTGCTAAGTCAAGCCCATGAACCTTAATGCCTAGGTTAATTATAACATGAATAATAAATGGTCTAGTGTTGAAATAGATCCAACTTTATATTATTATCAATGATAAATACCGTTATAACAAAATACGGTAGTTAGTAATAATTAAAACTTAATAAACATGTTATAATCAAATAAAAAAAGGTGCTACAATTATTATTAACATATCAATCAAAGAGGTGGAATCCATACTTTAATGACCAAGATAGGTCCTAAATAGCTTGTTCAAAATAGGTTTTAAAGTCCCAAGTGACAAGTAGGCCGGACTAAAATATGCTCAAAATTAAATGAGAAACCAAACAAGCCGTCTTAATAGGCTATAATGTCCAAAATTAGCCTAAGGATCCAAAATTAAAGGATATTTAATATAAAGGCCATGAGTTAATAATATGCTATATCCAACCTTAATATATGCTTTTCTAAATGTACAATTATAATAAAATAATTTATGAATATACAAAGCATGCTTTGGATTTTGAGTGGTGTAAATGTTGTAAAAAATGCCCCTCTATAATATGCCAATTTAAAGGGCATTGTTTAGAACAATTGACCGAGAAGAGGAATTGACAGGGTTGAGAGCATCATTGTGTGCCTGTGCAATCCCTTCACCGACCACCGCGGCGGAGATGCGGAGGCGTGGGTGGTGGCGGGTATGACTGCGACGCGGACAGATGAAACGGCGCGATTTGTCATGAACGAGGCCTTGATCAGAGACGCATTGTCTTTCAATGCACCAAAAATCAGTTCCCGGGAGCCGCTTTCTTCGAGTCATCACGGGTTGAATTTTGAAATCGGCGATCCGATTGAGTTTTGAACATAGAATACGTCATTTCTTGTTCCAGCCCCAATCTCTTTAAGTAAGACAAGGCCACCGGCTGGTTAATCGGAGGTTGGTCAGGTAAGAAGAGGGCTGAAAGACCAAAATACCCATGGTTAATCGGAGTTCTCGCCGGCTGGTTGATGGACTACGGCCGGAGGGACTAAATCAACAAAAAAAAAAAAAATTTCAGGGACTAAATCGATGATTAAGGAATTAAAGGACTACATTCACAGTTTGGCAATAATTGATGGAACAAATTGTTGATTAACTCTAGAATATATGGTAAATAAAAATGAAGGAAATTGCTTTTTAATTAAAACAGGCATACTAGGAGTCTTCTTCTAACGATTCGCCGAAAAAAAATAGCGAAGAAGCTCCGCCACTTCTCCTCACTGCAGCACTGGTCCGCCACCCTGCCTGCAATTCCCAGTCGCGCTGTAGGAGAGAAAGACGACACCAAGGCAGTAGTGCCGCTTGAAGGGGAAGGGAAACAGCGACGGTTTCGCCGGGAAGCCAAGCCCGCCTCCGCCGGACCACCACACCGCAACGCCAAAGCTTGTCGCAAAGCTAGTCCGGCGGCGCCCTGGTTCGCCGACGCCACCCACTGCCCGCGGCTTTAAGGAGGAGAGGAAGCCGGACGTCGCCGGATGCCTAGCCTCATCACAACGCCCGCCAACGCCGCCTAAATTTGCAGTGGCGAGGATGAAGGCTTTTTCTTCTTTTCCACTGCAGCACCGATGAAGAAGAAACAGCAACGGCTAGAACGGGATGTATCCATGGATGACACCACCATGGTAGCCAGTGCCCACCTCCATCGCCAGCCAGAACCACAACACCCCATGGCGCCATCCATCCAGCGGCGAAGCTCACAGCGGAGGATCGAAAAATAACGACAGCTCTACCGTCAGCAGTACCCCCGTCGGAGTCGTCGACGTCAACGATCGAACTGCGCAAAGGGAACGGTTGACGCCTTATTTAGCTCCGCAGCCACCCCACGGTGCTGTAAAACCAAAAACGAAAAACAGCCGCAGTACATATTTCCCAAAAATTATACAATTTCGTATAAAGGAAAAAACATACAACCTCATTGTTTTCCAGGAAATAACAAAAAAGCAAATATACTTTAAAATATATATTTGTTGCTAATTAATGAACCAGGCAGAGATTAATAGGGCTCTGATACCAAATGTTAGATAATAAATTGACTAACATAAACTGTAGTAACGAGTAACCTATCTTGAGGAACATCCGAATATCCCTTGCCATAGTTGATGTTATTGCCATGGGACGGTAAACCTGCAGAATAGTTTTGTCCACCACTTCTCTCCCGAATACCTGATGGTGCGTGTATTCTGAACACGGGAGCTGTGGGAGGACTGTTTTGCTTAGAAGCCTACATGCCATCAACGTAGGCAGATATTCAGTTAAAGTTTAACGGAATATCATGAGTTGCATAACAGATTAAGTCACTAATTAATTCAATCTCCTACTTGCACCACAGCCACTCAATAATACAATAAAGTCACTAATTGACTCAATCTCCTACTTGCATTACAGCCACTCAATAATACAATATATTATAATATATTGTATTTAGGGAAAATACTTACAACTTCTTGATTCATTTTTAATGTTTTAAAATTTCTTTTCTGTTTGATGCTGATTTAGTTTTCCGATCTCACTTCATTTTCTCCATTTTTGCATTAATTTTTCATCGCCAAGTAAATAGAACATAATTTTCATTCCTAGTAAATTTAGAAAAGAAGTGCGATTTTTGGTGTACCTAAGATTTCTAGCACTGAATAATAGAAACCTCTTTTGAATAAGTTCCTTCCGCTCAATCACAACCCAAGTTGTACAAAAATAAATAACTAGGCTGTCATCAGCAATAATAATGTAACTTTAAAACATAGAAGTAATCGGTAATATAATATGGAGTATTCTATTATCTGAGTTAACACGGAGGAGTCGTTGACATTGACTTGATCGGAAATAAAGCCACTGCGGAGTTGTGCTGCAAAGCTTTCAATCTCTATCTCATACAGATTTACAGAGAGACTGATAACAGTGAGAGATGGCTTCCGTCGTATTAGCTTCTCTCAAGGCAACAATGGAGTTTGAAATTCAGCAGCCCAGCCCCCGGGTGCTTCCTGATGACCTAAAACAGATGAGATCTCTCATTCAACATCTTTCTACCTTGCAAGCCTTCATGAAGAAATTCCACATCAAAGCCTTCGAGGATGCCGAAATCAAAAGCGTGGAGAACCAAATCAAAGACGTTTCACTTAAAGCAGAAGACAAGATTGAGATTCAACTCAGAAACATTCTCCTGGCGGAAAACGCAAAGCGGAAAGAAGACGCTCGCAGAGAGATCCATGGGAGCCTGGAAGAAATCAGAAAAGACATAGACGAATTGTTGGAGACGGTGAAGCAGCATGATAGCTCGTTAGCTGATTCCTCGCAATTTCCTCCCGATGAGGACACCATCCCTCACACGCCGCGTAAGGAAGAAATGGTGGGAAACCGCGAGGAGTTGAAGCAGATAATTGAACAACTCAATGGCAAGACTAAAGAACAACAAATTATCTCAATTTTTGGAATGGGAGGCATCGGTAATGCATTTTCCTTAAATTCTAATTTTATTACTTTCCGTCTTATTTTATAATTTTATTTTTCATTATATATATATTTAGATATTATTTTTAAAAAATACAAAATTTATAGGGATAAAGTACAAATAACCATCAAATAAGCCATTAAACCCTGAAAAAAAGAGCAATTAACATTTTTTACATGTTAACTCCAGGTTTTTGTTGATTGGATTGCCAAATGTTTATTTTATTTGCATTTATTTATTTTATTAATATTATCCACTTGGGTAGTATATATTATATTTTAAAGTAATTATAATCAAAATAGTTTTGTCTTGTCGTGATTTGATTTATTTATTATTATTTTTCACTGGATCTTTTGTTTTAAAAATAATAATAAATAAATAAATTATATCTAGACAAGACAAAACTACTTTGATTATAATTACTTTAAATTATATTACTACGTGGGTGGATATAATTAAAAAAATGGTAAATAAAATTAACATTTGGCAATCCAGCCAGCAAAAACCTAGAGTTAACCTGTTAAAAATGTTAATTACTCTTTTTTTTCGAGTTCAGTGGCTTATTTGGGGATTATTTGAGTTCGATGGCTTAATTGCTTTTTCCTAAATAGTTCAGTAGCTTATTTGTACTTTATCCAAAATTTATATTAAAAAAACACTCTAAAGAAAATAGGTAAATAAAAAGAGTTGATTTGACTAATAAATAATTAATAGAGATAAATGTCAAGCACTAAAGCTTAGATGGTACCTTTGTGTCTCGTTTTGATGAAGGTCACGACCTTGTAATCAATCATTATTGTATGGACCATGGTCCACACAAGCTGTGTGAATCATATTTTGCATGTTATAAAATAATGTACTTTTAATATATTAATAATGTATATTGTATTTAGAGAAAGTACATTATTTGTGTATTGAAAGTACATTATTTTATATAATGTACATTATTTTATATAATGTACATTCAGTACACAAATAATGTACATTTAATATATTAAAAATGTACTTTTTGTTATAGTTCACGTAGAATTGTATGAACCATGGTCCACACAATAATTTGTCCTTTGTAATAGAGCCAACCACTCAACCAGCCCTTCAACTATAAGCTAAATCTTAGCCCATAAACTTTTCTCTCTTCACTTTTACGCATTTTAGCCAATAACTTTTTAAATTTGTTCAATTAGCTCATTTTAAAGGTAAACTCAAGAAGCTAAGCCGGCTTCTTCGTCCAGTTGGACAAAGAAGCGATGGTTGGCTTCTCTGTCCGGTTGGATGGGAAATATGACGGCAGAGGTTTTTTTTTTTTTTTTTTTTTTTTTTTTTTTTTTTTTAACTACTTTATTTGAATTAAAAAAATATATGTTTTTTTATAAAAAAAAATTAATTAATTTATTAAATTTTAAAAATGTACCAATTACCTAGAGGCTATTGGTAATCTGTTAATTAACTTGAATGCATAAAAATGAGAAATTAAAGTGTCTAATTATTTTTTTAGTCAGACTAATTACACTTTGACTTATAGTTGGGTCTATTTGACCTTTATCCCTAATAAATATGATAAGTAAAATAGAATAAAGGAAATATTTACTTATAACACAACACAAACGGTAATGATGGGAGTTTGAAGTATATCTTTTATTACAAAAATGATATAATTTGTTTTTTATTATTATTATTATTTTACCCAAATTCATTAACTAATATTCATTGCAGACATTATTTCTCAAAATAAGAGTTTTTTTTTTTTAAGAATATCAACTAGATGTCCCAATAAATGTGGAAAATAGACAAGATAGTTTCTCTCAATTCTTGTATTTCAATCTTAATTGCATGTCTAAAAAACGAGAATTAAGGGTAATTGTTCTTTTCATGGTGACTCAATTAAACATTAATCACAGGGGCTAGATCGGTACTCACTGCGCACAAGGAGCCCCCCTCATTTTGAGAGGTTGCTCCCACACTGCCTCTGGTGAGACTCGATCCCTGGTCATTCTTCCAAAGTTTCACATCTATGACCAGTTGAGCTACCCATGCGAGCTATTCTTTTTATTTCATGCGTTTGGATTTTGGATGCCAATTGGAAAGGTTTGGTTAATATTCCTAAAAGGTCCTTCAAATTTTAGGATTTTGGATGCCAATTGTAACTACCTAACCGGTTTAGATAAAAATAGACATTTCAAGAATAAGGAAGAAAAGTAGATGCACCTGTAATTTAGGGAATAAATAAGCTATACAACTATTACTCATAAGAAAAAAGTGTCATTTTCCCTCTTATTTTGGTTGTAAATGAATCTAATAAGCATGTAGTTTATAGTTTGTTCACGAGCAAGAATATAGATATTGTGAGTTCTACTCCAAATTCTCTTACATGAATGAATTACATTTGAGGATACCTTAGCTTATATAATATTTCAACAGGGAAGACGACTTTAGCAAGAACAATCTATGATGATCCAATTACAAATCGTTTTGATATTCGCGCTTGGGCAACGATGTCACAACAATATGAGGGGAAACAAACTCTCATTGCCCTTCTTCGATGCATTACGACCTTGACCCCCGAAGAAATTAAGACCTCAACCAAGGAAGATTTAAGAGATCGATTACAAAAGCTGTTGAAGGGAGGAAGGTATCTAATTGTTGTGGATGATGTATGGAGTATTGAAGCTTGGGAAGATATCAAACCTTGTTTTCCGACTGAGACTAAAATTGAGGGGAACATTTTATTATTGACTACTCGAGACAAAAAGGTGGCTCAAGATACTCATTCAGGTAAGTCACCTTATGGCTTGAATTTTTTAAGTGATGAGGATAGTTGGATTCTATTTTCTAGAAACCTTGATTTTGAAACACGCTTTCCAAAATCACTGGGTTATGAGGACGTTGGGAAGGAAATCGTTAAACAATGCCGAGGATTACCCCTTTCCATAGTTGTAGTTGCGGGGATTCTGATCAGTAAAGGATCATTGGAGGAATGGAAGGAAATTCGAGCAGAATTAGCATTGATATTAACACGTGATGAACAATGTACAAAAATTCCAGCTTTGAGTTACAAACACTTGCCTCCACATTTGAAACCTTGTTTTCTACATTTGGGAGTCTTTCCAGAAGACAGTGAGATGCCTGTCAAAAAGCTTGTTAGGTTGTGGATCGCCGAGGGGTTTGTGAAAGTAGGTAATGGCAAGGCATTGAAAGACATGAAAAAAGCATTGGAAGATATGGGCAGGGCGTTAGAAGACACAGCTCTCGAGTACTTACGAGCTCTTATTAGTAGAAGCATGATTCTGATTCGCAATCAGAGCTCAAATGGTGAAGTGAAGACATGCAGAATGCATGATCTGTTGCATGACTTTTGTGTGAACAAAGCTGAAGATGAGAACCTTTTGTATGCTGGTAGCATGAGAAGATTTAGAACAGTGAAGAATTTAAATGATGATGGAAGTACAATTAGCAACGGTGGTGGAAGTGTAAAGCACGAGGGATTTCGTTGGTTAAGTTTTTGGCCAAATTATGGAAATGTTTATGTTTGCCATAATTTGGACAAATCTCGCTCCCTATCTTTTCTGCATAGAGATGCAATTCCAACACTTATTGGCGAGTGTTTACCGTCTAACTTGTTAAGAGTGTTGGATTTGATTGAATTACCTCCATTATCTAATGAAGTTTTCATGAGTTTAAGGGATCTAGTTCTTCTGAGGTACATGGATATAGCCTTGGATGACTGTCTAAGTCCTGAAGAGCTGGTGGATATAGTTTCTGGGACTCAAAATTTGCAAACACTTGTTATTTCTCTGAATGGAATGGGCTTCAGTGATATGTGTTTGCCATCTAAACTTTTGGAGTCACCACAGCTAAGGCATGTTGAGGTTAGCTATGCTCTTTCAGTGGATCCTCCAAGTGAGGTCAAAGAGGACTTACACACATTCTACTGGTTGAGTCTAGACCATTGTACCAAGGAAGTGTTTTCAAGAATCCGAAATGTAAAAAAGTTGGGGATTATTTGTGGATCAAAGCCAAGTCCTGAGGCCATAGAGCCTGCTAACCTTGAGAATCTTGGAAGTTTGGATAAGCTGGAGACATTAATGATTGCATTCCGGAAAGGCTCACCAACAGGCCTTCTGAATCTGAAGTCTTTGCCAGTACTAAACCTCAATAACATCAAGAAATTGAAACTGAAGAGAACTCGTTTGCCGTGGAGTGAAATAAACGTAATTGGCATGTTGCCCAATCTTGAAGTACTGAAACTGAAACAAGTGTGTAATGATCCAGATTGGAAACCCACAGAGGGAAACTTCCCTAAGCTAAAATTCTTGTACCTTGAAGCTGAAAACCTTAAAAGTTGGGAGGTCGATGAAGGGGATCAGTTTCCTTGCCTTGAGCACCTAGTTCTTAAAGAGTGTACAAAATTGGAAGCTATTCCAACTGGCTTTGAAAATGCATATGCACTGGAGTCAATTGAGTTACTAAATTGCCCCCAGCCTGTTAAGAATTCTGCCAAAGAAATTAGTGATAGCCGGGAGAATATTGGACACAAACCCATCATTATTCGCCATGGTCTGCCTCTTTTCTCTCACAGTATGACTTTTTTTGAATTACAAATTTTGTTCAATTTATTCTCAACTGCTTTTTTGTCATTTGATTTAATTACAGTGGACCAAATTCAAGAAGTTGATGATGTTGAAGATGATGCTGATGATGATTCTTCCGAATAAACGAATTGAATGGTACGTGTACTGTGAATTGCAATTAAATTGCCTATGTATGTATTAGAATGATGATGGTGCATGTTGTGTATAATGGTGTAAACTATTGAGTTTATTTTATAAGAATGTTTTTTATTAACTTCATAATTTCTCCCTGTTAGAGCAAGTCCTTGTCTTAGCCTTCCATACTTTAATGTTTAAAACCTTTACAAAGTTCTTCTTTGAATTAACATATCTGTACTGCATTTAAACCATTATTACTACATTGAGATTTTGGGGATAGCATGTCATGCATGTAATTTGTGTATAATTTTACTAACCACAATACTGGGATACGTAAACATTGACTTAATATTACACTAAACTTTTTTTTTTCCCCTATTAGTTTAATGGATGTTAGGGCCTGGCCTGCATACATTTGTGCTTTTTTAGCTACTAAGTTGTGGAGTTGGAGTATAGTTTGGGTGAAAGAAGCAAAATATGAGCTAAAATTCTATTATTATAGCTTTGGTTAAATAAAATTTCTGAAGAACAATGGTTAATTTAACATAATCATTAATAAAAGAATTGAAAATGCTACTTATAGCATCATGACTGAAAAAGTGAGGATTTTTTTACCACGTGAAAGGTGGTCACAAAACCTAAAGTAGTTCAAAGTGTTTGACTAATTAAGTTAGTAACTTACTAATCATTATGTGATCCTTAAAAAACATAATGCTTGAAGGTATTATTGAATACCAATCGATTGGTAATAAAAAAAAAATAAAATTAGACGATTAGTTTGCGAGATAGATTGCTTGAATTTTACCACTAGGTAGTTAGGATTAAAAAAGAAATAAAAATTGTCAACCATGGTGGAGGCTTGTAAAAAACACCTTGGTTTTCAGCAAAAAGCCAAAAACTAACGTGCTAGCTGGGCATTAGATCAACTTATTTTCCGTGGATTAGAATGAATATTTTTCTTTGCCTTTATTTTCTTTGAATACCCAAACACAACAAAATATGAAAAAAGACTTCTGAAAAGTTATTTTCTGAGTTTCCAAACAGATACTAAAGGTAGAATCTGATGATAAAAACCATGGTTGCAGTAGGCGCTAGGCGCTAGTCGGGCGCCCGGGCAGCGCCTAGCGCCTAAGCAGTCTAGGCGGCGCCTAGGCGGAATCTAGGCGGCCTAGGCGGGCGCCAAAAAAACAGTGGTAGACTTGCAGTTTGACAATTTTAATGAGGTTGTTTTCAACATTTATTCAAATAACACATCCAAATAAATGAATTAATGATAATTCATAAGTCATAACATCAAAACTATGGTTTTCAAAAAAAAAAAATTATATATATATAAATGAAAAAAATTAGAAAGGTCAAGTCGGCCGGGTTAACTCGGCTAACTCGACAGAAATTGACGAGTAAACTCGGCGTAATCGGCCGAGTTAGGCGCTAGGCGGCCGAATTAGGCGCTAGGCGGGCGCCTAGGCGGCCGGTCTCCTAGGCGGAAGCCTAGGGGGGAAATCGCCACGGCTTAGGGGCGCCTAGCGCCTAGGCGGCGATTACTCGGTGCCTAGGCGGGATTTTTGCAACCCTGATAAAAACAAAATGATCTCCAAATAGAATATAGGATTTAGTTTCAAAAATTTTGAATATATAATTTTCAGCCTCCAATTATGTTCATTCGAGGGTGAAAATTGAAAAATAATCGAGAAGTCAGACAAGTTGTATATGAAGTAGGACTCCGCCTGGTGGGCACAGGTAAACAGTAAAGGCACGCTCGTGCCTCTACCGAGTTTTTTGCACTTTTGGTCCCACGACTATAGTGGCACTGGCAGAGTTGATCCACGACTTTTGAACCTTGCAATTTTAGTCCACGACTTTTGAACCTTGCAATTTTAGTCCACGACTATTGATTTTTTTGCAAAAATAGTCCTTCCGGCCATTTTTCCGTCAAAATGTCACCGGAAGAAAAATTTTCCGTTTTTAGCAGGGGTAAAATTGACATTTGACTTGTCTCCAAAAAATAAAAATAAATAAATAAATTGGCGTTTGACTTAAAAATAGTACTACTCCTCTTATTCACCAAAACAACAAACAAAATAAAACCCCCCCAATTTCCTGAACCCTACCTGCGAACAAGACGCCATTGCAGATGCAGCAGAAGCATAAACAGGCATTTCGGAGAAGGCCTCCTATCGATTCAAACACGTCCGAGTCAGAGTTAACTCAAGCAATTCTGAAATTCGAAGAAGCTTACGAGCAAGTAGAGAATGCAAAGTTGCAGCAGATGGTGGTGATGGAAAAGCAGAGAATGAAGTTTGTAGATAATGAAGTTTGCAGTAACTAGGAAGCGTTTTAAATTAGGTTGGTTAGTGTGCATTTTAGGCAAATGACTAATGCTCTTGTTTCTTTTACTCATTATGAATGTTCATGTTGTTGAATAGAAATGTGTAGGATCATTTTAGTTTGGCAGATCTATGGTCAATGCTGAACATTGTTGTATCATTATGTTACTTGTGAAACTACAGCTCGTGTAGAATGATGAGAAAAAAATTGTAGTTCATTAGTGATCAAGTGAAATTTAATACTTCCACCATGCTTTCTACTGTATATGATATGCAACATTATCTTCTGCATGTTGTCCTTGTTGCTGTTTTAGATTACCCACAATCAATTCTCTGTTGTGTTATGCTCATCAATAGACAAAAATCCATCAACCATAGACAAAGAAACCATAAACAGTCTGCTGTATTAACCATAATCAATGTTTACAATTTTAAGACAACAAAACTGCATTGGCAGTATAACAACAGTTTTGGCATCATAGTTTGACAAAATAACATGCCTAAAATCATAAACCATTACAGTTTTGGCATTACAAAAAGAATCATAAAAACCATTACAGTTTTGGCATTACCAAAAAAACCATAAACCATTACATCAGTCAATTTTACTTGGAACTAGATTTGGTAGAACACTTTCTCTGAACTGGAAGTTTCACTCTAAAATTAGTTTTGTTCTTGGCTTGAATTAGTGGGGCTTGAACTTGGGCTTGAAGTGTTTCTACATGTGCTTGAACTGGTGGGGCTTGATCCGAATCTCCTTGGGGTTGAACTGAATCTGATTGGGGTTCTTCTGCATGGGCTTGTTCTTGCATTAGCAGTATAAGATCATCCAAATTGAATGAACTTAAAGCAATATCAAAATCATATTCTTCTTGTGTTAAAACATCACGGGCTCCCATTGCCTGAAACCATAAACCATAAACCATAGACAATAAACCATAAACCATAAACCATAAATCATAAACCACTGCTTACCATTGGAGCTGGAATGTAAACATTAGGCTCAGTGGTGTTTTCAACAACTGGCTCTGAAGTGTTCTCAACAGTTGGTTGTGTTCTGTTATGAACTTGTGGTTGCTTCTTGGATCTCACCATTTTTCTGGGATTATTCTAAACAAAAACAACAATAATAAGTAAAATTATTAAACTAAACATATAAAGATAAATACAATAAAGTAATTAAAGCATTACCGGTTTTTCTGTCAAACGTAGATCATTAGGACATCTCCTATTATTGTGGCCAGACTGTTTGCAATTGGAGCAATGTAATTTTATTTGAGACCTTGCCACTCTTTCTCCATCATTTTTTATCTTGTGACTTTTTCCTTAATATTTGTGGCCTCCCTACTCTGGCAGTGTACACAGGAGGTAGGGGTGGATTTCTTTCACTTATAGGCCAATCATCAGGGCCAGCCATTGGTCTAATACATCCTTCATAAATCTTCAAATATGTATCTTTAGAATAACAGGGGTGGATGTAGTCAGTTACATGGCCTTTCCCATGCTTAAGCCAAATTGCACGAACACCATGCTCACATGGAATACCAGTGAGGTCCCACTTTCTACATGAACAGGTTCTTCTTTGCAAATCCACTCTATGTTGTGCCTCATACATACCTCCAATCTCAAATAAATATGTGTCACATTGATATCCTGTATAACCAGCTGCTTTTTCCTCAATAATCTTAACTTTCTCCACAATCCTAGGGCAAATATTGCCAGTCCACTTACTCACTTTTTCCCTATTGGCAAATAGCTTGGTCATTAGCTGCTTTCTGATTAATTCAAGGCACAAAATGATAGGTTGTTTACGTGCATCAATAATTACAGCATTAAAACTTTCACAAATATTGTTCACCAACATATCACAATGAGAAACACTTGTGAAATGTGACCTACTCCATTCTGTTGGACTCTTATTAGATAGCCAAACATATGCATCCTCATCCAATTGTCTAAGTTTTCCAAGTGCAGTTGTATATTTGGGCACAGTTGTTGCTTTGGCACAGTCCCATAGTGCATCCTTCAATGCCTTTCCTTGAAATCCCGTAACCTTCATATTCCCATGAAGGTGCCTAACACAAAATCGGTGCTCAACTCTAGGCAATACCACTTCAAATGCTTCTATTAAACCCTTTTGTTTATCTGACATGAAGGTAAATTCATGTTCATTCCCCTCACTGATTTCTAAGTCTTTTTTTAAGAATTCTAAAAACCACACCCAAGACTGTTTTGTTTCACCCTCAACAATGACATATGCAACATGGAAGATTGAGTCATTAGCATCAAGTCCAACTGCAGTCAGAATTAACCCCCCCAATTCCAGACTTCAAATGAGTTCCATCCACTCCCAAGATTGGCCTACAAAATTTGAAACCTTGCCTATATCCATCCCAACACATGTACAGTCTAAGGAATCTGTTTCCCCCACAAAGTTCAACATTGTCACTGAGCTTCACCTCACAGATTGTCATAGGATTAGTCCTGATAATTTCTTGGCGGTAACTCCAAATCTTTTTGAAATTATCATCTAGATTACCCCTAATTTGAATTTTAGCTTTCTTCATTGCTCTATAAGCTTGATGTGTACTAATATGAAACTTTTCATCTTTACACACCTTTTGCCTAAATTTTTCCATTTTCCAGTCATCATGATGTGCAATCTCCTTACTCCACCTCTTTGCAACTACAGTTGACGTTGCTCTTGAATTCTCAGAAGTCCAACAACATCCATCATGTTTATCTGTCAATCTAAGGATGCTCCAATTCAAAGAATTCTGTTGCTTTCTTAGAGTTACTGTCCAAGGACAACTACCATTATCACCTAAATTATAAAAACAATAATCAAATTGTTAGAAGAAGAAATGAATAATTAGCGAAGACATAATAGTAATCAAATTGCTGCAATTATGCACAACAAAACAACAAAAACAATATGTTCACTTGTAATCAAATTCATTAGGCAATTTTAAATGTTTATCACAAATTTTTAAGGAAATGTCTGTGGGTACTGAAATAACATATGGTAACTCAATGGTGCCAGACAATGGTTGTGAAGAATATTTAAACCATATTTAAGGCATTTACTGGTTCGAAATACAATATTTAGATTTAAGCCATTTGTTCCAATTTTCCAACTCCAAGGTCTGTTGCCTGATTTAAGCCATTTGTTCTAGTTTTACAACTCCAAGGTCTGTTGACACTGGAGTGTGGTCCCCATTCACAGAACACATGCCACATGTTACAAGTAAACATTATAAATTGATTACTGGTCCCCAGAACACATGGTCCCCATCTATAATACTACAGGTTTGCAATACACTTAATATAAAAGCATATTCTGCACTTTTCGTACTAGGCAAAAAGTATATAATGCACTGTAAACTAGTATAGACATATCAACAAAATTCATAGCAATAACATCATACAAACACCCACAAATATAGACACAAATATTTTACAAACTAAAAGTTTGGACATTGAAAACTTACCATCACTCCTCAACCTACGCGGAGTCATTCTTGAATTTTTCGCACTGGAGAATCAAGCCATGAAATCCAAGCCACTAATTGTGACTGTTGTTGTCTTGTTCGCAGGTAGGGTTCGGGAAATTGGGGGGGGGGGGGGGGGTTATTTTTAAGTCAAACGCCAATTTATTTATTTATTTATTTTTTGGAGACAAGTCAAATGTCAATTTTACCCCTGCTAAAAAGGGAAAATTTTTCTTCCGGTGACATTTTGACGGAAAAGTGGCCGGAAGGACCATTTTTGCAAAAAAATCAATAGTCGTGGACTAAAATTGCAAAGTTCAAAAATCGTGGATCAATTCTGCCAATGTCACTATAGTAGTGGGACCAAAAGTGCAAAAAACTCTGCCTCTACCTGTGCAAACTTGAGTTCAGTACATAAAATGGAGGTATAACTTAATCAAGATACAGATATTAATGGCATTGAATTCATCATTTGATGCATCCTTTGAAGCTGAATATGGCAGCTAACTCTTGATATCAAGAGTCAGTTTAATTATGTTGTTCTCTCAACTATTCTTCTCCGATCCCAAAAGGAAAGTTGTTCTCCAAAGTCTCAACTATGAGGACAGCAGACGCTTCTCTTCTTCCTCCAGCCTTTTCAACCATCTCAATCCAATACAGCACCTATGCTCCAAAGAAGGTACAATTAACTAGCTCTATGACTGTAGTGCAATGAAAACAAGCGAGATTTGGTTGCCCTCTTGTAATGCTCTATGGAAACACCATATTGCTGAATCAACGTCTTTCTTTACACAATCCCCAGTCAGAAATACAGCACCTAGAAGGTATAGTGCACCTGAATGCAACTGAAACTCGCTGTTTTAGCAATTTGAGGGCAGACACAGAGAAATAATGGTGCATAGTCGTTGCTTATTGAATTATACCTGATCAGCTGCCTTCTCTATATAGTAAAATGCTTGCTGATCTGATTGAACATAATCATTCTATCAAATTGTTGAAAGTTCTTAAAAATGCGTCAAAATATAATACCATTACATATGCACAATGAGTGAACAACTTTACTTTAAGATGCCATAAATCCCCAAAACAGGAACCCTAATGAGTGAATAACTTTACTTTAAGATGCCTTAAATCCCCAAAACAGGAACCCAGACCCAAGCTATAAAGGAATAACTATAGCTGACATTGTGTCAAGTAATTCAATTAGAGGGTGTCAAATGTCAATGCATGAACACAGACTTTGAATATAAGTTTTTTTTTCGTTAACAGTGTACCCCCATGGAGCACCTTCTCCCATGCATAGAAACCATATAAGCAAAGACTTGCAGTCTTGCATGAATACCTTGGGTCTTTAAAAGCAATTTCCTAGAGTTTGAGCTTGCATTAAAAGAACATACTGTTATGAATCTGAATGGCCATTACCTTGGGTCAATATTCTGATGCTTATGAGAGAACATGTTTGAAATTTTGGGACAGCAGAACTAACAGATAAAATTCCAAGTACGTCATCAAGTAACAAGAGAAAGTAGAGATAATGGGCCCTGTGACTGGTATTCACCGCCTGCATATCGTCAATGTGATTGACCAGCTTTGAAGTTTGATTAAATTCCCCAAGTTAGACAAGTGACCAGTCTATATCTTGAAGATCCCCAGATTATGTCTTACATAATCCAGTTCTCATCTTTCAAATGATAGTATTTGAAACATGGATAAGATAAGCATAGGTGGCTAGGTGCATGATAGGCATTTGGAAAACTAGGAATAGTATGAAATCTCACCAATGGTACTTGAAAAGAACTTGACACTCACTAATTAACTGAATTGGACCAAATGGATTATATTCATTATCCATGACAAAATGAAAACAGTACAATTCCCCAATGAAAGAAAGCTAACCTCAACTCTCAAATGGCGGCCTAATTCATATTGAGCATCTGGATCACCCATCTCAGCAGCTTCAACTAGCAAAGCAACACCGCTATTATGACAAAGGAAAATGAAGAAATATTAATTTTAAGTATATCAGCAAGTTGAATAATAAGAAGCCTGCAGGTTATTCTACATGCCAATTAACATTCAAATTAGGTAGACAAAGATTATGCAATAGAAAATATGTTTTATGTTTACAAGGTGAACAGATAAACTTCTTACATGGCTTTACAAGCGCCAGGGGTTATGGTACTTGAGATGCACTTTTGACAGCCAATATCTGGCTTGGGTATTTGAGTTGTCTGCCTCCAAAGCCAATTCAAATTTCTCCTTTGCATCCTAATGCAAATCCACCATATCTAAATATTTACATGCCCAGAGAGTCAGACCATAGAATATTAAAAAGCACTCCAGACTAAAGCTTACACATAGGAGAGGAATGAGCCGGCTGTCCCTTAGCTCACAATAATCAATCACTCTATCAACTTCCTTCAGAGCATTCCACCCTTTTGCTATGAACTCTGCTGCCTCCTTGTTTTTGCTGTGCAACCCCCTCTAGGAAAGCAATATAATTAACAATATTAATAAAGATGCATCCACAAAAGATAAGTGATTGCTGTAATTTGGGGCAAACAAATAATACCCGGAGTATTCGGGTTGTCGAACCACAGAGAGGTGGTGTACTAATCACTAGCTACTAGGTTACTCATATGAAACTAGTCCGAACAAAACTTGAAGGTTGATTAATTGCATAAAATAACAAGCAGAATAAAATAAGTAGCAAGGTTTTGTAGACAATAGAGCAAAATAGGATTCTTGGGATCACAATGTTTAATCACCTAGTACCAATTAAAGTTTGTAATATTTGGTTTGGAATTAAGATTTGTGTGGGAATGCAAAGTGGAATCGAATTACTCCCGTAATCTCTATTCCTAGTGAATTTCCACTCCCATGGCTTAAACACCCAATAAGATCAAAGATGAGCATTCAATTATTCCTAATTACTACCATCTCCCGATGAACAATAATCTAGAATAAACTTCCCCTAATTAGTTCCCCTTTCCCAAGGACCAACCGTTAGGTGCAATCGTGTGTGCCCTAATTTATGCCCCAATTCCCATTGGTGACACAAATATGACTATGAAGCTAGTAATTTAGGCCTTTAATTACCAACAACAACAGGTTAAAAACAAGATTGCAACACAAATCATAAAACCAAACATAAATATATTAAGAAATTAACGAACTAGGCACATAGGTTCATAAACAAATTCACCAAAAAATCCCTAAAGAATTTAGCCAAGCATGGCTAAATTATACATAGCAAATATAAATAAAGAATCACAAATCATCAAAAGAGTACAAGAATTGACCAAGCGATTCTCCCGAATCTCCGTGGCTTCCTCCTTGCTTCCAAAGATAACTTGAGCCTCTTGATTTCTCTCTTTCTTGTCTACAAAGAACTCTGAAAATCTCTCTGTCTCCTTAGGGTTGAGGAAGGAGGGATTTTATAGTGGGTACAAAGTTGAGATGAAATAGGAATCTTGTACAAAATTGGACTCAAATTATAATTCCTATATTTAAAATAAGAAATTGCCGTTCCACTATTTTGGTTGGAATGTTATTATAGCTAGCAAGCTTTGACTTAGGAAGGAGTGTCCCAATGATTAGGGAATAATTGTTGCTCCAACATTGCAGCCCACCATGCAGTAAGCTTTGCCGCATGAGTAATTCTTCGCGTCATTCTCGACGCGTCGAGACCTGATGGTCTCGATCGGAAGACTTTCTGGAAATTTTCGACGTGTCGAGCCTTTGGCTCGACGCGTCGAATCCTCTGGGCACCGAACTTGTCCAAAATTGCTCAAAACTCATCCTTGAACTTCCCTTGCTCATATCTTTGACCTAGAATGGTTCAAAAACACTAACAAACACCGTAAAACATTCAAAACAAGTGTGAACCATAATTAAATGATAATAGCAAGGAAAATATGTATTAAATAGACAAAATTAAAGAACTTAATCACTGTGATGATTCAAAATAACTATAATAACAAGCAAATATGTGATAACATCAATAAGGTTCAAGGCACAACATTACCTGTGGAATGAACTGGAAAAGATTATAGCCACAGTTTCTAAAAGCAGCCTTCAGAAGATATGATTTCAACATTTTCATCTGAGAGTATAAGCATTGAAAATTTAAATAATATTGCTGGACCGTGGTGGATATTTAATTCTTAAATTAATTACTTTAATTAAGTTAATTAGACTAATACTTATTTAATTGGGTTAATTAAATGGCCCATTAAATAATTAATTGGTTTAATTACTTAATTAAATGTAATTGAATGTTGGATTGTTTGGCCTAAGTTGGTGGAATATTTAATTAAATCGGACCAGGCTGCTTGGATTAATTGGGTTGCATATAGCGGGTTTGACTTGGTCTTGGCCCACTAAAATTATATGTGGATTATATAATTTTGAGGAATTTGGATATTTGATATTATTTGGAAATTTGATGAAATCATGAACCTGGACGCAATGGTGTCCCGATACGTTCCTTAATTTAATTAAAATAATTAAATTAAATAAGGAATTAAGAGTTGGTTGGAGATTTTCCCTCACCCTCACCACTATAAATAGTGGTTTCATTTTCAAGAATTAAAGCTCTGGAAATCTGCATACTGAAGCTCTGCCGAAGTCTCGCCAGGATATCGTCTGGAACACGCCCGCAGTTGTACTGCGTATACCGCGTTGAGGAACACGCCACTTGAACACCGGAAGCGCTTCTTTGAAGATCAAGCTGCATATTAGCCCTTCATTGAGGAACAAGCTACCAACTTCGGAGGTCCTTCAGCAAGGAACTACTCCAGTTCGGCATACTCCCGAACTCGGCATACTTCCAGTTCGGCCATACCCCCGAACTTGACATACTTCCAGTTCAGCATACTCTGAACTCAGCACACTTCCAACAAGGAACTCGGCATACTTCCAGTTCGGCCATACTCCCGAACTCGGCATACTTCAAGTTCAGCATACCCTGGACTCGGCACACTTCCAATTTGGCATATTCCAAATTTGGCACACATCTAATAGGCATACTTCTAGTAGAGAATCAGAGGACTTCTCATATACAGAGATTGTACCCCTTCTTGATTGATACATACTACTTGTAACCGATACTTTGAATTTTGAATATATATAATTCAAGTTTTTCGCGTTTACATATTTTGGCACGCCCAATGGGACCGCTCTGCCTCTCATCTCTCTACTACTACTATACCTCTACCTGCGCATCAAATGGCATCGAACAATCCCATGTTCAGGAGGACCTATGCCCAAGCTACCAAGTCCAAGTCTACGCCTGTAGCTAGCTCTGGCACTACCCCAAAAACGCATGGTCCGCTGACAAGGAACCGCGCAAAGGATTTGGGGGTCCAAGTGCCTGAACCTCAGTCCATGGCACGACGTGTGGTTCGAAGGCTCGACAAGGCCCCTGCTGCCTCAAAGGCAATTGCTTTTGCTGGAAGTCCACCCTCTCCCAAGGGAGCTACCGATGGTGGTAGTCCAACTTCTATACAAGGGAACGCTAGTAGCGGGAGCACTTCCCCTGTAACTCCGCCACATCCATTATGGAAGGCTGCACCTGAGTGGTCACATGTCTACAATGTCATGCCGGCCATGGCGACAAACACAGAGTCTGTGGAGGAGCAATTAGCTAGAATTGCTAAGTCTCTAGAAGGAATGGCTGTCGCTCTCCAAAATCAAGAGAAACGGCTTAACACCCTCGATAATAGGGTAGGAAGCATCATGGAGGAGCAAGGAAGCCGTGCTCCAGGAAAGCAACCTGAAGGGCAAGAAGAGGTTGGTCAGCAATCACCACCACCTCATGTTAGCCATGTGGTAGGAGAAGCTGCTTCCCACTTACCTGCAACTGAGAAAACTATTCCAGTTACCGAAGGCATGATACCGGTGGATCAGTTGAAGGACTACATAATGGGGGCCATCAAAGGCAAGTTGGATGAAGGCCAACCTTCATATTCCTATGCTAAGCCCTACACACAAAGAATTGAGGAGTTGAAAATGCCCTACGGCTATCAACCTCCTAAGTTCCAGCAATTCGATGGCAAGGGAAATCCCCGACAGCACATTGCCCACTTTGTGGAAACATGCAATGATGCAGGGACTTATGGCGATCTGTTGGTAAAGCAGTTTGTCCGTTCGTTAAAGGGAACTGCGTTTGATTGGTACATTGACCTCGCGCCCGGCTGCATTGATAGCTGGCATGATATGGAACGTGAGTTCTTAACTCGTTTCTATAGCACAAGGAGAACGGTCAGCTTCTTGGAACTCACCACTACTCGCCAATGGAAGGGTGAACGCGCCGGTACCTACATCGAAAGGTGGAGGGAACTATGCCTGAATTGCAAAGAAAGAATATCCCAAAGTTCTGCAATTGAGATGTGCATCCAAGGAATGCACTTTGAACTCTCCTATATCCTATAAGGGATTAAGCCAAAGTCCTTTGAGGAGTTATCCAGTCAGGCTCACGACATGGAATTGAGCATCGAAGCCAGCGGAGGGCTCAACATATTGAACTTGCCTAGCTCCTCCAATGCACCTGGAAAACAAGAAGTTAAAAAGTGGAACAAACCTTTTCCAAAGCAGGAAAAGAAAGAAGTGATGAATGTGAAGGCTACTCCCATGACAGTCTTCACTAAGGCAACTGAAAGGCCTAGGTCAAGATCATTTTCTGGCCCGTCAAGGGGTGGTAGAAGGCCGACAATTGAAGAAAGGCAGGAGAAGACTTATCCTTTCATGGATTCCGATGTATCTCCCATGTTTGATGAGCTACTCAAACTTAGGCTCATTGAGTTGCCTGAAATGAAACGTCCCGAGGAAGCTTCAAGGGTGGATGATCCACACTATTGCAAGTATCATCGTCTTCTTGGTCATCCGATTGAGAAGTGTTTTATCTTCAAAGATAAAGTAATGGCACTGGCCAGAGATGGAAAAATCGAGCTTGCCGATGCCAAAGCGAGCTCAAATCAAATCTCGATTACACCCGGACGTTTCGCTCCGCTGTGTACTGAAAAGGAAGATGGGAAACAACGGAAGCGTCCACTCCCCTTCATTGTTAAGCACGCTGTCGGTCAAAGTTCAGAACCGCAGCGGAATGATAACGCATCCGAAGGTAAATGGGTAATTGTCACTCATAGAAAGAAGAACTTCGAGCCTGTGAAGCATCAAAAACACATAGTGAAAAGTTGGGTTGAGAAAACCTCAAAAAGTACCCATGCCCGCAAATCAAAGACGAAGGGCCATGTCAAACAGCCACGTGCACCAGTTCCTTTGGCTCAATATATGCCTAAGGGATTTGATCTTCAAGGGGCAGGCACTTCTAGCTCCTGCCTAAATACAAACGACAAGCCAGAAGATGGAGGTGAATGTTCATCTCCTAAACACACCGAGGATGAGGAAGTGCTAATGCATAAGGTTACTTCCTACACCATGGAAATTACCTTCAAGGATGAAGACTTGTTACTTGGAGGCACGCCACACAATCGTCCATTATTTGTTGAAGGCTACACCCGTGGGCAAAAACTCAAAAGAATTATGGTTGATCAAGGCTCAGCTGTCAACATCCTATCCCTCCGAGCTGTGAAGGACCTTGGTATATCTACAGATGAGCTTGCCCAAAGTCGTCTAATGATACAAGGCTTCAACCAGGGAGGGCAAAGAGCAATCGGCATCATCAGACTTGACTTAAGAATTGGAAACCTAAGTTCAGGTGTCCTCTGCCATGTCATAGATGCAAGGACATCTTATAACTTGTTACTTGGAAGGCCGTGGATACATGAAAATGGGGTGGTACCCTCGTCTAGGCATCAATGCCTTATGTTTGAAAGAAACGGCGTAGTTGAAAAGGTTGTCGCCGATGAAAGCCCTTTCACAGAGGCTGAGTCTTACTTTGCGGATGCAAAGTTCTACATTAAAAGGAAAGTTATTGTTGAAGATATTGAGGAAGGCAATGACGATCCACCTTCCCAATCAAAGTCAAAGGGAAAACAAGTTGTAGAGGGAGATCAACACAACACAAAACTCATCTTCCCGCTTGCAAGGATTGATACACTCAAAACAAATGCAGCAAAATCATCCGAAGAGAAATGTGGTGATAAAGTGGGCCAAATATTCCCCGCCAAACGTACCGAGGGTTTCGACCCTAATGCTTATAAGCTTCTAGCCAAGGCTGGCTATAACCCCAACGAGCCACAGAAGTTGGGAAAGCTTATCCCAGAAGCCGGTGGTAAAGGCAAGGCAAGTCACCAAGAACCTCAAACTCGCAAAGGGTTGGGCTATGTTCCCCCTAAACCAGTGCGGATTCTTATAAACAGGGCTGCAAGTAATTGTATCTCCGCGGAGGGAAGCGAGTATGATCCAAAAATCACTCCTACCAATGATAATGGGCAAGACAAAAAGAAGTCAGTCTTCGACCGAATCGGTAAGGCAGACTCTCGACGCTCAGTCTTTGATAGACTGGGGTCAAGTCCTAAAGCCCTAAAGAGAAAGTCAATGCATGATCGACTTGGAGCTGTCCAAGTTATTAAAGACAATGCCAATGCTGAAGTGGAACCTCCCAAAAGGCTTAGAAGCATGATTCCTTCTCGGATGAGACGAGAAACATATATTCATGTTTCATGCGGTGAAGTGTTGAAAGTCCAACCGAAGACCATTGTACACACTCGTGTACATAAAGAAGAAAATGAGGAAACCGTAGGCTCAAGTGATGATGTACCACCAACTACTCAGGAAGAGGTGGCATCGTCGTTCCATATCACGTTATGTGATGAAACCCCGATTGAGGGGGAAGATGCAGAAGATGCACCCCATGAGTTAGAAGAAGGGGTACGAGCCGCAATGGACGAATTAAAAGAAGTTGATCTGGGAACGCCTGAAAATCCTCGTCCTATCTTCATTAGCGCACTCCTATCTGACGAAGATGAAGAAATCTATGTCACATTGCTGAAAGAATATATTGATGTCTTTGCATGGACATACAAGGAGATGCCAGGGTTAGACCCAAAGGTAGCTGTGCACCGCTTAGCAGTGAAGAAAGGGTGTCGCCCGGTTAAGCAAGCTCAACGACGCTTCCGCCCCGAGCTCATTCCCTCGATT